ATTTTCTGGTCATCAATCATGTGTTCATTGTTGCTTTCATCTCTCAATTTTTTAAAAATTGTTCGATCAATCGATGGTGACAACTTTTTTCTGCTCATTTATTTTGCCAAGTTTGCTGGTTTCCTAAAATTTGAAATATTTTCAGCGCGTGATGCCACGCATTGGGCGCGTGTGTATGGACGACCCAGGTACGCGTGGCCACGTGGACGGGTGGACGACGTTCCTGAAGGCGGGACTGGACTGCTCCAGGCCCGGCGACCCGCCCTACAGCTACGACAAACTCACGAGCCTTGCGTACCTCCCTGCCGAGGAAATGTTCTATGGGCTCTTCACTACGCTCGAGTAAGCTCTTCAACAGATTTTGCCTGGGTTTGAAATTCGAAATTTTGATATTTTGGGATCACTACGCTCGAGTAAGCTCTTTAATAAATTTTGCTTGCTTTTGAAATTCAAAATTTTGATATTTTGGGATCACTACGCTAGAGTAAGCTCTTTAATAAATTTTGCTTGCTTTTGAAATTCCACTTATGGTAATGGCATAAAAAATAGGATCAGTTGGTTTAGTGATATTTCAGTGCATGTAATTTTTTAACATTCCTTACGTGTACGAAATGGATTGGTTATGCGATTACATTTATCCGTTGTGAAATTATTAAATATCGGCCAATGATAACTTGAAAAAAGAGAGGCGAGCTTATATACTGATTATAGTTGACACTTATATTTATTCATCACAATCCGAAAACTTATCGCCTAGACTTTTGTGGACTAAATGAATTTTTCTCAACTCTCAATGTTGACTATACGGTTAATAATCACGCTCAAAGTGTCAATTTAATTTAGTTCTTATATCGAGATTTAGTGCTGTGATTTCACTTAATATTTTTCGAGACGTACACTTCATTCCAATTTAAAAAATTTTCTGTAAACGAAATAGTGGCAGGAATTATTGAATTTTTGGGACCGTTTGATTATCCATAAAATCTTGATTTTCCGCACTTTTCAGGAACGGTGTAGCAGGCTCGGCAGTGTGCGCGTTCAACATGACATCCGTGAACCGCACCTTCGACGGAGCCTTTAAGCACCAGTCAAGTCCCAATTCCTTGTGGACTTCGGTCACTGATAACCAAGACCACTACAGATGTCGCTACCAGGACACGCAACGCTTCACCAAGTCCGCCCCCAAGTACCTGCTCATGGACTCTAGTGTCGCCCCTGTCGACTCCGAGCCGGTGTATTCCTTGGATTTCCAGAGGTGATTTCTCAAACTGTTCAACTTTACATATATATATATACATTATTTTTATAAGTCTAACTTTACATATACCTATAGCTATGCTTTATTTTCATTATAATATTGATTCTGTTCTGTATGCGCCTCATAGTGATCTAGGTTTGTGATTAAGAGTTACAAATGCAAGTGAGTTTATCGCAGGTTCACAGATTTTTTTCTCACTTTCTACCCAAGTCATGATGCGAAAGTGAAAACTTTTTTGAGTGTTCAATTTAAATATTTGTGTCTTTGTGTGTGTCCGATGGCGCTTTACATAGTTTCTTCAGAAACATTATTTGCTGTTTAACTTAGCTACTTATTCCCTGTGCAATAGCGAAAATGATCAATTAATAAACATATCAAGAACTTAACACGTGAATGCTCGATGCTAGACTTACGCACATCGCTGTGGACGTGGTACCGACACGTCAGAGTGGACCGGTGCACGTCTTGTACGTCGCTGAAGGTGACGGTAGCATCAGGAAGATAAGTGTGGTGCCTCGGTCGTCCCGCACCACCGTCTCCAACAGGAACACAACAACCACCTGCTTGTTGGAGGTCATCGCTCCGTTCCCCTTCAACGCTTCTGTCAAGATCCATTCGTTGAAACTACTTCGAGCAACTGTGAGTAGCGCACTTACTACACTGTTAGAAAAATGACCGTTAACGGTATAACCGGCGTTTCAGTGGCCGGTCGGCACTTGAAGAGAAACATCGTGTCACCGTTTTTATTCTAATTTAACACTAGAAATCCGTGAAACATCTCATATAAACGGCGAAACAGTTTATTTTCACGGGGCGACCGGTCACTAGAATGCCAGTGGGACCGTTTTTTCACCGTTTTTTCTAACAGTGTATCTTCGGCTGACAAGCTGCGCACATGGAGCTTATTGTTATACTGTCGAAGTTTTTGTCCAGCTTTAGAAGTTGATCTTATGCTTGACGCAGGGTTCCCTGTACATTGCGACTGAGGATGAGATCGTACGCGTGCCGGTGCACCGCTGCTCACGGTACGCCAGCAGGAGCGCATGTTTGGCCGCTCAGGACCCCTACTGTGGCTGGGACAGGAACCTGCTCGCCTGCTCCCCTCCACCCAACCAGAACCCCTTCGTGTCTTCCTGGGTGCAGGAGGTCATCGACTGTCCCACCAACACAGAACCTAGTGAGTTAACACGGATCACAACTAGTTAACTCGGAGCCCAGTGAGTTAACACGGATCACAACTAGTTAAGTAGCCCAGTGAGTAGCCCAACACGTACCGCAACTAGTTAACTTGGAGCCCAGTGAGTTAACCTGGAGCCCAGTAAGTTAACTTAGAGCCTAGTGAGTTAACTTAGAGCCTAATGAGTTAACTTAGAGCCTAGTGAGTTAACTTAGAGCCCACTGAGTTAACCTGGAGCCCAGTGAGTTAACCACAAGCCCATTGAGTTAACCACAAGCCCAGTGAGTTAACCACAAGCCCAGTGAGTTAAATTTTTTGGATTTTTAGTCCTTTCTATAACCAAACTGTGAGCGTTGAACAACAGGTAATGTTGCGCTTTGTTTTTATATTTCGTTTTATACTCACGAACTTCTTGGGGTTTTGTTCTCACGCCATAGGCGCTATGTTTCATCACTTATTTTAATATTTGTCCAAATGGAAGTATAGTTTCGTAAGAATTCAAGATATCCTTCTTACTATTTGCCATACCAATGCCGTGTTGATCCGGTAGTTGACGGAGGTTGGAGTCCATGGTCGCCATGGGAGACTTGTCGCCAGGCTGGGTCACCAGATTCTTGTCAATGTCGCCACCGAACTTGTGATGCTCCTACGCCTGCCCGAGGTGGTGCCTATTGCGTCGGTCACCAGTCAGAGGTGCGTGTTATTAATAATAATATTACATAGCATAGCAACAGACTAGACGAAGCCATGCAGGATTATATCTTTAGTCTTGAAACGCCTAGCACATTACGGACACGGCAATAAGTCCAGCAGCTATCTCAATCAATCGTCAGTTATGGAAAGTTGGGGTTCCAAAGGCCGGATCCCTTGTGAATCAAGTCACGAAAAGTATAAGAATCGGCAACAGGCCATGGGCCTATTTCTTCAGTGCCGACACTTCTATTCTATTCTATTTTTTAATATCGGAGTTGAAGATTAGGCCGAGTTGGCCTTGGCAAAATGAGAAAAGATTTTCGACAATTGGAGAATCGACTCGTGAATGTGCGGCTCGAAAGCTATTCAAATAATGTTTCTCTAAAACTTCCGGGAGTAACTCGATTGAATTCCAATTTTTCGTCTCTTTAATGCCCAATATTACTTCCTCAAATAATTTTCATTTTCATCCCAATGCTAGATGTATTTAATACTCATCTTTAAAATTTTCATTAATGTATCACGTACGTTTGAATTGTCTTATTATTAGATCATTACGCAAACAGGGAGCAATATTTTGTTAGTTTTTGAACGGAAAATCATTATACCATTGAATAACACGATAATATGAAAGAACTTCGGAATAATCAGATAAAGATTAATAAATTTTGTTCATAAATTCATAGAGTTTAATAATAATTATTGATAAATAGGGCGATAATTGAGTCATCAAAGACACTTTCTTCTCCCTAGGTAACGGACTGCACAGTGCACGGTGGCTGGACGTCTTGGTCGTCATGGTCGCAGTGCTCGGCGAGCTGCGGTGTTGCGGTCAAGTCACGACGAAGGTCTTGCACTAATCCAGCCCCCCAGCACGGCGGCAGGGTCTGCGTGGGGCTAGACCACAGCGAAATATACTGTCATCAGCTACCGCCTTGTCCTGGTCAGTATTTCACCTTAATGATAAGTACTTAAATCTTTATGATTACTTAGATTACATAGATTTTCATCCCTATGACTACTCAGTCATGCATCCCGATGATTACTCAGTTTTGCATCCCAATGACTACTAAGTCATGTATCCCAATGACTACTCACATTTGCATTCCAACGAGTACTCAGAGATAGAACACAATCCCGCATCTGGATTCTGGATATATAATGCAAAACAAGGGTTATTTCAACTTGAAATTGTCATACAAGAATGTTTTTATCTTTTGTGTCTTAATTATCTCATGAATTATTTTCCATTCATGTGACAGAATGGAGAAATTGTGTCTATTAACTTCAATGAATGACAGTGAATCGATTCATACTGAGCATAATATGAATACCATATTTTGATTCATTTAAAAAATAGAGCCATGTTGATTTGGGGTGTTTGCAGTTTCATCTCACCTCCCAGTGGCGGGTGGCTGGGGCTCTTGGTCCGCTTGGGAGAATTGTTCCGTTGAGTGTGGTGAAGGAATCCGCAAACGCATCCGCCTCTGCAATAACCCTCGTCCCAAATATGGCGGACCGAACTGTTCGGGCTGTGACGAAGAGATCGAAAAATGTTCCGGAACGAACTGTCCACGAATCAAGAAGCTCTCCGACTGGACTGCGTGGTCACATGATCTCGAGGGCATCGAAGGAGCACAGAGAAGATACCGAGTAGAGTGTAGCGCTCAGATGGGACCATCGCCGAAACTAGAGGTTGAAATGACCCACGAAGAAAGGCTTTGTACCTATGGAAGTCCATGCATAGCTACTGTGCCGCTAGATCGCATCGCTCCCACTGCCATCGGTGATTGGGAACCTTGGAGCGAATGGAGCGAATGTGATAGGGAATGTGGGATCGGCCAGCAAATGAGGTGGAGGGTTTGCGCCACGACGGAATGCGATGGCCCTTCTTCTCAAAGCAGACCGTGCAATCAACATCCATGTAAAGGTACGTTTTACCGTTTTGTCAGATTAATAATAATTTATTTATCGATTAGAGTCAACAATCATTTTTTCTAACGAATGATTAAAGCTAACCTTATTCGTTTCCTGTCTGTTGATAAATACTTCAAATGGTAATTCCGAAATTCAAAATGTATTGAAAAACTATATTCATCTCTGAAACATATCAACAGTGTTTTGTTCTTATGAAACATTTTATCTGTTGGAAAATGGATTTTCAGTGCTTATGACTATTGATGTTTCAGGCATGTGGAGTTGCTGGAGCGACTGGAGTGACTGCTCACCTTCATGTGGTAGCGGACAGCAGCAGCGCGTGCGCGTGTGTCTCGCCTCGCAGTTGCCGCGTCTCGAGGCGAGCGACTGCCCCGGCAAAAATGTCGATCAACGAGCTTGTCAAGGCACCAATTGCTATGGTCAGGAATAGTTATTATTCTTGAGTGCAGTTGAGTTATTGTTGACAAACTGCTATAGGGAGAAAAATGGTTATTTTTCTTAGGTTTAGTCGATGTTTTTATGAATACAAGAATGTCGACCAACGAGCTTGTCAAGGCACCAACTGCTATGGTCAGGAAATAGTTACTATTCTTGAGTGCAGCTGAGTTATTGGTAACAAACTGCTATAGGGAGAAAAATAGTTATTTTCTTAGGCTTAGTCGATATTTTTCATGCATATTCATCGTTATGATAATAAATTACTAAGAATTTCAAGGAAATCGGTGTCACTGATTGTTTTGATGAAATGTTCACCGTTGCGTGTCTTCCTCATCTTATTATTTTACAGTGCCTCCCGGTGAGGAAGGCTGGAGTCAATGGTCTGAGTGGTCTAGTTGCGCAGTAGCAGACCATCGAGTTCGTTCCAGGGTCTGCACTTCAGATCGGCCTAGTCTCTGCAGAGGACTTGACCTACAGAAGCAGTCTTGCCAAGATATTCCTTTGGAAGGTATGTAATTTCTTGGCATTGTCACTTCCTTTTCAATTGGTCTTTCAAAAATGAATGACAATTTTTTTCCTGAATGTAAAATTTTTTCAATGGATGAAATTTCGAATCGTAAGCCAATCACAATTTTCCTGCAGACATAACCTTGCTTGAGCGACGCACGGCGCCTCCAGCTGACCAACGTTCAGAGGGCGTGAGTATATCAAGTCTCGTGGGTGCCTGCGTCGCGTGTCTCTTCCTTGGCATCCTCATTGGAGCCCTCATGATGCACTTTTGGACCGTGAGACAGCGGCATCGAGAAGTTCCTGCATCTCCACATTATTTGTCTGTCAAGCCCAACCAGTACGTGACCGTCCCAGGAGCAGAGTGGAAGATAACCACCACGGCCGAGAGGGACAAATCCAGTAAGTCCCATCACTTGGGACTATCATCCACAGGTTCTCTGAAGCACAGCTTGAAACGGAAGTCAAGCGTCAGAGATCCCTATACGACTTTGCCTCTAAAAGACATCGACACTGCGACCATCAAGCGATCCAATCATTCATCGTACAGCCACGGAAACCACGTTCGAGCTGATCTCGCATGCGACACAAATTTCAGTTTTTGAAACTGCATGAGAATTTTTCAGATCACACGTAGAGCAAGTATAGTTTCGGAACAAAAAAGTGTTCTGTATCCAAGTGCAAAAAAATGAGTAATGCTTTTGCAAGAAAAGAGCTTGTGTTTTTTAGTCACGAAATCAGTATCAACACGAAGTGCGCAAAATTAGAACGATTACCAGAATGACGGATTAAATATACCCTCGATTGAAAAAAAAAACACTGTGTAGAGGACAATATGAGTCAGTGTACAATTTGTTGTAAATTTGTTTGTATATGAGGTTCTCGTCACTATTATTATAAGAACAAACCTGTATAATCGCATGTGCCATGTAGTGTACTAAGTTCACGGTGAAGAACTGAAGAGAGACAAAATACTCAATAATGAGGGTTGTTCTAGTGACCTACTTTCTATCTATTTTTCTCATTATCCTTAAGTTGGAAGTAGGTAGTTTCTACATCGTTAATGAACTATAAATAGGTTAAAATCGAGGTCCAAGGCTTTGTTCAAACTGAAAAGGGTCTCAGGTTTTCAGTACGCAATGTACACTAGCGATTTTTGGATAAATTTCTGGAGAAAGTCTGATTCTATAATATTTTAATTTGGGATTCACTATCTTATTCATGATATGAAAGCTACTAAAGTGACAATACATTTTCTTTTGTTACACTAATTTTTGATAATTTTCTAATTTTTTGAAGAACCATCTCTTCTTCAACTAATTATCTCATCTTTAGAGTTGTGCAAGTTCTTTTGTGATTAAATTCGTGCATAACTGTCAGGAAGTATGCGTAGTGGGAAACGTCGCATCGGCGCACTGCCGCTGTTTCGTCAGAAATAACGTTCCTGCAAGTCACCTTCTGGTTCCTGTAACCTTTTTTTCAAGAGTCGAACGGTGCCATAATTACGATTTACTCGTTTTAAAACTCATCTCGCGTAACAAAAGGATATTTGTTTTTTTTTTAACTAAAGAAACTATCCTGAATCATTTAGCTACTAAGAATTATTTGGTACGAGGTCCTGGACTTAGGCAACCCATGTTTATGCGAGTTAGTTGTACGGTGTTAAGAATTAAATGTTGTTGCAAGCGTCAAGTTATTGGAAAAGCTTACACGTGTTCTTCCGATGTGCCATCTTATGTTATAGTTCTTTTTAGTCAGGCGTTCAATTTTGGTTTAAGCTAATGAGACGATCATTATTCTTTTAAACGCATTTGTGTTCACAAAATTTTGGTTCTTACTGGCGAGCGTTATGACTATGTGGCTTAAGCCCTTATGTAAGCAAACTAGAGCCTTACCCTTCGCATGTTAGACGGCATGGTGATGAGACGTTACATTTTCAATGTTATAATGATGTTTTCTTGTCGATGAGATTTCTTGAAACAATCCTCCTCAGTAGAAAAATCTTCAATTTTTTGGTTTCGTTAAACAAATATGTCAACACCAGTAATAATTACTTATATTGCATCGCCATGCACTGCAACTCAAATACGCGAAGATGTCGGGGCCTGCTTAGCAACGTTCTAACATTCGAAGGCTCAAGTCTTGTATCTTACCTCGGTTTTTATTTTGATGTAATCTGATGAGGCGTAACCAGAGCATTACCTTTACTGTGTGATCTAGTCGCTTCTTGTAAGGGAGTTGTTAAGGTAACTTTATATTTCCTTTAAGAACTTCTACTAGCTTGTCTCAACCCCAGCGATATCTTTACGATGTTTCATTTGAATCAAGACTAACTGCCTTGTTTGGTTTTTGATCGACTGCATCAGAGTCCCGAGTCCATGCAGGTAAACACTTCTCAAGGACTCGATACTTAATCTTACGTTCCATGTTGTGTTCACTCCATGTAGTTTGTCTCTACGTTTCTTCTCTTACTTTACATTTTTGGTTCAATATGATCGAACAGGAGATAATCTAGCATGAAGACCGTAAATAAGCATAGTGAGTAACTTTGTCATATTCGATGTAAAGTTCCGCAAATAGTTCGCAGATAATTTTGAAAAAAAGCTTAAGCTAAACCAGTGATAACAAAGATATTAGTTCGATAACTTTTTAAATGTATATCTTTCGACTGCAGCGATACAGTTATGCGATACTGAATGATTATTTCAAAATTACCATTTACTCGATGGGTATCTCCATTCATCCGCTAAAAAATGACAATAAATTTATAATCGACAAGAACGTATTAAAAAAATGTAGCCATACGATAAAAATATCGTTCCAAGAGAGTACTTTTCGTTTTTTTATCGCTTGTATCAATTCACCTTCTCAATTGGTGATGGAATTCAGCATTCTCAGTAATTCGCTCAATAATATTTGAAGACGCTTGTTGCAAGAAGCGTCGCAACAAATATCAGCTTAGCAAGTTTAGTTCGCAGCTCATTCGGAACAAATTGACAACGCCTCTTCATATATCGGCTTGTTATTTGCGCGCTTGGTTGTCAGTTAGTAATAAGTAAAGAACGTTGAGGAGAAACGAAACTTCAAATACGTTGCCATAATTTAGAACCAAACAATGCATCGACCCTAAATTCAAACGCATTATAGAAGCAAGTTCTAAGTTTACTTCTCGGTGATCCAAATGCTTCACCGTGATAGTCTTCAACCGTCAGCGGGCCAATTAATAACATTAACATAATATAATTTATAATTTACAACTAGACCACGGATCTTGCTGGAGTGAAACTATGCCTCATTCTTAACAAAGTTTACTCCTTAAATATTAAAGAAATATACAATGGCAGTGTGCATCAGACGATCCTCACTTGAGCTAATGGAAAATAAGAATTCAAACTCGGCATTAAGTGAAGAAAATATTGAAGATTCAAAGTTGAAGGCTAACCAAAAGCCGGTAATCATTATCGTCAATGGAACGAATCAGAAGACGTTTTACCGTCGACACGTGAGCTGGGAAGCAATACAAAAATTAATGTAAAGACTAGCTACTTTCTTACATTCATGAAGAGACTTCCTCTCACGACGATCATTATGCACATAATGCAGACAAATTCATACATAACGCTTTGTCGGCATCCATAAAGAATCTAGAAAGTGTAATTATAAGTTGACGCAAGTAGTAGTCTTATACACGTAGTTTCTATACTAGTATAAGAATCTGAATGATCTAATTTCAACGTCTATGAGTGAGCAACAATCTGACAGTATACCTGGTGATTCGGACTAGGAGCTGCAAACAGATTTTATGAACCATTCAAAAATGAGGAGTGCAATACATAAATCATGATGCGCTACAGCACGCAATGTGTTCGTTGTTTTCCGTTGCACGAGAATGGTCTCACGTAAGTCTTGACTGACGGCAGTGCCAGTCACCTAGCTTTTAGGTACGAATAGCATTCAAGAGTGTATAAATGAATTCGCAGACGGAGGATTGATCTGATTAGAAGTTACGTGCTAAAGGCTAAAGTTAGTGCCGCTATCTAGCATGAACAATCAACAGAATAATTTTTTGAATGTGGTGCGGTGGTATTTATTCTGGAAACTCATCATCCATGCAAATTTTTGTTGATTAACCCTGGACGTCGGCTTTGAACTATTCTGAACATACATTTAGATTATAAAAAATAGTTTACAATAGGTGATGAACGTGACAATCAGGAACAGACATTAAATCGGGAACGGAAACAGAGGGAATAGTAAAAAAGCTACCGCTGCTGAAATACGAATAGTATGCAGCTTCACATTAAATTGAGTTTGTGGCATGATGGCAGTGAAGTGGAAGAAAATAACTTATACTAAATATTAGATGCTAATAATAACACAGGATATGGTTTAATACAACCACACGTTAAATATGCAACACTTCACACTCAATACAAAATGTAGACAACGTGGAACGAGACCGAGTCAAAGATCGTGTAAGTTGTATAGATTTCTGCCCATACTGGCTGGCATTTGTACATTTCTCGATATTGACAAATGATCAAATTTGAGGTCAAAATGAATTAGTAAATTTATGCAGCTGTGAGTCCGCTAACGATGCTCGTTGCTTTTGGGGAGAATTTTAATAAGAATTGATAGCAGATGGTAAAAACGAGCTCGGCGTATCTTATCACTATCAAGTCTTTTTTTATCGCTTTTCATAAACTTTTATGCGATCCCATTCCTTCAGTGCTTACTTTAGATTGTATAGATTTCTGCCCATACTGGCATTTGTACATTTCTCGATTTTGACAAATCAAATTTGAGGTGAAAATGAATTAGTAAATTTACGCAGCTATGAGCCAGCAAACGATGCTTGTTGCTTTTGGGAAGAATTTTAAAAAGAATTGATAGCAGATGGTAAAAGCGAGCTCGGCGTATCTTATCGCTATCAAGTCTTTTTTTTTATCGCTTTTCATAAACTTTTATGCGATCCCATTCCTTCAGTGCTTACTTTAGGGTTATATTACAGACTACTATTTTCGCCTACAATTTTAACAACGAATTAAAACTACAAAACGATTTTTTGAAGTGCAAGCACATTCCTAAATTCTTTATTATTTCGATGAAAACTGAGTTCAAAGTGCAAAGAAATGTGCCAGCAACATTTCTCATAATTTTGATATTCACATATTAATGATAATAATAAATTTTCTTCCAGCCAATATTGAATTTATGATGATAATTTACAATTTACACGTGAATGTTCACAGAAATTTAAACGCAATGAACGAGTGACAGTCAGACATTAAGTAAGCCTTTAAAAAAAATAATTGGGGAAGCATCAAGAAATTAATTATTGGAATGATTATTATGTTATCAACATTTTTTTACGAAATAAATCCTAGAAAACCGAATTTTTTCCGAAAAATATTATGTAAAACATTTTTAACGGAACTAGCATGTCAAAAATTCCATGAAGAAACCCTAAATTGGCAATGCTAGGAGACTAACTAGTTTGAACTTAATGAAGATGATCTACTCCATTAATTCACACTCAGTCATACGATGAACATAGAAGCTAATAAACCAGGGCATATTTACTACCGGAGCACAATGAAATGGATGTGTACCGAAAACCAGGAGTTTGATGAACATCGAACTCCTGCCACTATTAAACAACAACGATTTCACAGCTGTAATTTACAACAAGCTTATATGACAACAAAACACACTGCTTTGACAACAGCCATCAATCTTAGAAACTTAAGCAATGATTCATTCTAATGTTATTTGGTTTTTGTAAGAATCTGTTTGGTCAGATTGTCGCCGGTTTGGGTTCTCAGAGATGGACTAGAAATCTTAGAGGGAAACGAAGGCAATGGAATGACGGGAGCCTTTAGAATAACGGGGGAATTTTTATCGTTCTGGTTCACTTTAGAGTTTGGACCGTTTGATAAGCCCTGGGATTGACCACCAAGTGAAGGTGATTTAATTGGTAAATTAACAGAACATTTCGATTGACTGCTGGGAGAGGAACTTTTAGACGAGGTACTTGAATTTGATGTAGTAGAACCACTTCTAGGTTGAGCATGGCTTGGAAAACTTCTTGTCAAAGAACAGACAACGGAGTTTTTGAGCACAGTAAGGGCAGTATTTTTGCTGGGTAAACCGTTGACTATAGAAGGAGGTTTGATTGACGAGTTGGTACTGGCATTTGAGGAACTACAAGACGCTTTGTGTGAAGCGTTAGAGCTATTCCGCGCAACACTGTTACGAGAAATGGTTGATGAATTTGTACTAGAAGAAGTCTTAAGTGAAGAAGCTACCACAGAACTATAAGAGAGCTTATCAATAGATGTGCTAATACTACAGATACTGGTGGCAGTGGTAGGCAACACAGCTTTAGTTGATGTACTTGAAGCAGAGGTAGGAGCTTTGGTAGAAGTTGCAGCCACATTTTTCCCAACTGAAGGTAAATAAGAGCCATCCGAACTTGCGCCATTTGTGGAGCCTGATGACTTAGTAGGAGCCTCGAAGTGGCTGTCTGCAAGCAAGGCGCGAGCAGCAGAGGAAACGGCAGATGAATCAGAAGATAAATTACTGACAGAGGCTTTTATGGCAGACCGAGGCGACGTATAAGCCTTTAAACCAACTCTTCTTTGGCGTGTCCAATGTTTCGATAACTCCAAATGGAGTCCTTTTTCCTGCATTCTGGAAAACGAGATATGGTCGGAATGATGGCACACCGAAATTTGTTTCCTAGTTTCTACCGTTAAATACGGCGCATATCTCAAGCAAAATGAAAAACTAGACATGACCCACAATCACACACTTTCAAAACAGATCTCAATAAGATCACGAACCTCGGTCATAAGAACACTAGATATCTTGAAGGTCACTACCTTCTCTTACCCATGGTTGAACTAATATAAGGTTGACCCATCAGAAGCTCATTTTTGCGGATGTAGTTCGTAGTTCGTTGTTCGCCTGTGACGTCACTGATCTCAGTGACGTCACAGGCATTAACCAATCACCGAAATGCGATCAAACCAGTCAACCAATCCGTCATGGGAATGACGGATTTGTTTACTTTTCTTGATCTACGTGACGTAACAAGAAAGCTGAACTGAAAGACGGAACATCTCGTGGGTCAACCTAATATAGTTCAACCATGATCTTACCCATCACATATACATAACTGGCGAGTATTACTTACAGATTTTGGAGCTGGCGGATATTGTTATAGACGGCACCGGCTCCCATGACTCCGAAATCGTAGAGGGACACGAGATGCAGTAAATAATTCCGGTACAGGTTACGTCTGATCACCTCCTCTCCGTGCGCGTCAACGAACATCGAGCAAGCAATAGGCAGCTGACAGTCGCCTACGAAGCTGAAATGAATGATAGGAAACTGTCACTACCATTGAAGTTGGAAACTGTCACTATCATTGAAGTTGGAAACTGTCACTATCATTGAAGTTGGAAACTATCACTATCATTGAAGTTGGAAACTATCACCATTATTGAAGTTGGAAACTATCACTATCATTAAAGTTGGGAACTATCACTATCATTGAAGTTGGAAACTGTCACTATCATTGAAGTCGCAAGAATACATTAAAAAAAAAATAATTACATGGTTATTAGAAAAGCTTGTTTCCTCTAATCTTGCAAGTCATGAGCTTGACCTATAATTTTCAGACAAAAAAAAAGGAAACTATCTAGAAAAATTCCAGTTAGTGTTTGGTCTCAATAAATGTATGAATATTGGGAATTCAGATTTCACTAGAAATGAAAATTGTCACTAATTGAAAAAGGTACAAAAATGAATGGAAAATAAAGCTCGTCACTACGTAGCATAATCCAGCTACAGGCACACAAAACTAAATGTACCAAATTGTTATGTGAATTACTTGTGTTTCATGACATGCACGTTCCAGAGCTTCATGATTTCCTTCTCTCCGTCGTTGACATCGGAGAAATCGTCTATCATGGAGACGGTCTTGATACGCATCCACTGACTGTCATGTTCTCCCTCGCTGTCTTCGTCCAGCTCGTGGGGGCCAATAGGTCGGCACGACATCGTGTGATGGTACAACCTGTAAACCCACAACTTGCTAAGTCGCTAAAGGTAATAAAAATAACATTCATGGCATGATCAAACTTACATTGCACTCAAACTTGCCAAAATAATAGCGGAAAGTAAATCGTACAGACAGGCTAGGAGTGCGCAACGCAAATTTTTTGCAAGCCAGGGCTGAATTCCCGAAGTAATTTATCGATTGCTCAGCCGAGATGTGTGGGTGAAAATACACCTGCTTACTATTTTAATGTAAGCATGATGTTGACATCATTTGCAAAAGGGAGGGTTACATGCGAATTATAAAAAAAGTGAGGCACGATAACAATATCTGGGTGAAAATATGTTCATTATATTAAATTATAAGTTAGGTTAGGTTAGATGAATATAAGGTAATATTATTTGCGTGCGGGAGTTTCACGTGTGGATTGTTAAAAAGTGCACAGTCTGGGAGCGATATATATGAGACAGTCTGGCAGCGTGTATGCGGCACTAACCTGTTATGGCCAAGAATATAAGAGCGCGGTAGGTCGTAGTCCACGTGGTCCTGCTCGAGGAACTCAGACAACGAAGGCTTGCTACGTCGCGGACGACACACCAGCAGAGCGGTCGTAGGGGCGCGGCGACAAGGACCTGCAGAAACGCAAATGATGAGGTAAGAACCCCAGGATAGTGGGGGTTCTAACCTAACCCAGAGGGTTCTTCAGAATAATGGGGTTCTTACCTAATCAAGAGAGTTTTTAATAATGGGCTTCTTACCTAATTCAGAGAGTTCTTCAGAATAGTGGGGTTCTTACCTAAACTAGAGGGTTTTTAATAATGGGCTTCTTACCTAACTCAGAGGCTTATTCAGAACAGTGGGGTTCTTACCTAACCCACAGGGTTTTTAATAATGTGCTTCTTACCTAATTCAGAGAGTTCTTCAGAATAGTGGGGTTCTTACTTAACCCAGAGGCTTATTTAAAATAATCAGGTTCTTACCTAATCCAGAGGCTTATTCAGAACAGTGGGGTTCTTACCTAACCCATATACCGTATTTCTTCAAAATAATCTCATGTATGCAATTCAGATAAGAGATGAAACAGGTACAAATTGCAGAGTGCACTTTTACAAACTTGGTAGCATTCAAGATAATTTAGGTCCAATCAGAAATAATTCAAACTAAAAAATTCCCAAAATTCAGTTGGACTGATTAGTTCAAGTTGACGGATGACATTGAAGAACTAAGAAATCAATTAAAAACGCTCACCACAGCATAGTTTTCATCTTGACACATGGAAGAAGGCTGGGGAGATAAAAATCCTGTGCTGGGCTGGGACATAAAACCAACACAAACCTGTGCGTGAGAAACACACTCCGCCACCACCACCCGAGAGCGCCACAAGGTCTTGAGGGTTGCCAGCGTACGAGCCATCATAGCAATCATTCAGGGACACGTCGATGCGAGCACCCTTTGGATGTGGCTGCAAAACAATAACTTTGAAAATCACAACATGAACAAAAAGTCATACATCAATTCATAGAGAAAGAACATACAACAGTGGAAACATATTGATGGAGTACCACCTATAGGTCACAATTTTTACCACTAGTGGTATGCTCACCACACGTTGAGAACCACTGCCAAAATCGGACTTCGTATAATATAAGGTATTAAAAATATATGCATTTGTTGACACTAGCTTGTGACATGAGAAGCAGCTACCAAGCGAGAAACGGCCATCTTATTGCCCTTTGATAAATAAAACAAGAACCTAACAAATTTCAATCAATTCTCAAAAGTGGATAGATACTCACCAAGTAAGTAAAAGTGAAGCGAGCATGACAGAGTTTGAGATGCTTAAGTAAGCAATAAAGAGCAAGGCAGTTGATGGAACACCAAGGGCAGTGAAAGTCTCGCCTCGCTTCAGTTTGTTGACGTCCATTGTTGTTGTAAACAAACTGGTAGAGCACCAGCTGAGGTGCTTCAGGGCTGCTCACGCCTGCAACAACAAAGATTAATACAGTAATAACGAATTAGACTAAACAACGCACGCAAGGCTTTTGCGCCTTGTGTATGTTAAGTTTTGAGCTTGGTGGCCCCACAGGTTCCTTAGGCTTGACAGTCCCACAGCTTTTGCCAAGTTCGTAACTCTAATGCCCGTAGTTTCATTTTTATATCTGCCTGTCACCACAGCAGAAGAAGTGAACAATTCAAATGTCAGTGTTAATTTAATCCTTAGTTATAATAGCTCACTAACCTTGAGGTTTAGGTTTTGTTGCCTTGTCATTTTCAAGTAGGACTGAGAGCGGCTGTTTGGGGCGAATAAGCGTCTTGAACATCGCGCTCAGGCTAGTTCCACTTGATTGCAGGCGTGAGTGACCATTAGTGTGGCCTGTAACTGCCGTGCATGTTCCAATTCCACCACCTGTTGCAGGTAAAGGCAGTATTACAGAAATGATTAACTTAATATGTTGGTGGTTCATACAATATGCAAAGAATACACACGTAAGGTCTAGAAAATTTACTCACAACGTATCTCAAAGAGCACGTCATATTGTTAAACATTTGACTCCTGTTGATTAGACAAATGCTTTCAGTTAAATATTCTGACAGATAGATAGTAAATGATAATAGTTCATTTACATACCAGGTTCATGAGACCACGCGAGGCGGAAGTGCAAGGTTGGTCCAGAGTTCTGGAAATCAGAGATATTTGCTGCTTCCACTTTGAGGTCTTCAGTCGACTCCCAGGTTGAGTTTTTGCGTGGGCTTGAAGAAATTGTCTTGCCAGCAGTTGCTGCACAGTAACATGATTGATAAATATTTTAAAGGGCAAGAACAAAAATTGAATCGTGGAGCATAAACTTTGAAATGACGAGTGTACAACAGTAAGATTATTTATTGTTTATTATCATACATAATGCTTGCTTATGGTAATTGAGAACTTTTTTGAAAAATCAAATGACCTAATTCTCTATTATAGTAAACTGAAAACAATTTGCGTCATGGGACGAAGATTATGATTAGAAGGGGCATTATTTTGGTACCAAACTCTAAGGAAATTTAATGATTTTAATTTTATAAAAATTCAATTTGGCAATCTATTATTACATTGTCAAAGAGTGGCGTTGAATAATATGAAAAGCCGAAACCACTAACATGATGCAGGACGAGCGCGTGGTTTGAACAGAAAATGGACAATATACAAGACCCTAACCATTAACGGGCTGCAGGACGAGCTCGTAAGAGCCAGCCTGGAGCTGACACCGTCCATGTCTGTCATAGACGACAAGCTCAGCTTTGTAGCAAGTCACGTTGTCACTGGTAGTGTCTGAAGACGACCCGCCACCACTGCTGTGCTCTGATCCACTGTCTGCAGTCGCGCTGCTTCCGCGGCTTAACCGCCGACGTTTAGAAGCTGGTTCACATACTGAGAAAAAATATATTTTTACCATTAATTAAAAAAACAACCTCTTAAGTGGTTTGAAACGTTCAGTATGGCTTTAATTTTATAACTAATCCTTCCCCTGTCTTGCAAGTGATGGCAAGAAAAAGAGATGATAATCTCAAAAATATTTTACCGGTCAGAATTAAATCGGTAAGCCTCAAACTGGGGCAATAGGATAAATTTTGCTCTAATTGTATCAATACTTTCTTTCCTGTCTTAAAAGCAATGGTAATGAATGATATTTTTACAAATATGTTGATATGCCATTCAATTTCAATTTAATGGCAATTTTGTTGATATGCCATAAATATTGCCATATCCAACACAAACATCTTTCATTTAAAATCGTCACTATTCACTGGACAATTTCTATTACAATTATAACTTCCACCAGAAGATACAGCTGAAAAACTATAGAATGCATGTGATTAAACATACATTTTTTGCTCAAAAGGAAAGTGAATAATATTACTGAATTGTTAAAAAAAATGAAGTATGAACATTTTGTTCAGCATTTTCAAACATAAAATAGGGCTTGAACTCTCTGAAAAAATAATGCTAATAAATCATTTACACAAGGAACAACAAAGAAACACTAACTATTCTCCTGGTCATGCACAAGCTCAATTTTGAACTGAAGAACGGATGATTTGTTCTGGTGGCCATTAAGCGTGCCAAATGTATTTGTGGGGATGGAGACTAGAGGCTCCTTGGTGCTGGCTCCATCTGAACTGTGCTGGTGGTTGTTAACTTGCAGGGAGGCTGGAGGTTGCCAAGCAACCAGGCTTCCCATAGGCGGGTTGATGCTGATGTCATGGCTCCCAACACATGTCTGGTAGTTGAAGGTAATGTTATTTAAAAAAGAATATAGAGCATGAAAATACTAAATGAATAAAATGCAATACAGTTTAATAAGAGGTTATAAGATGCTATTTAAAAAAGATTACAGATTATCAAGAAAATGCAGCCTGGTTGAATATTCATAGTATGTATCAGTTGAAATAAATTCATATCATCATCTAAGCTCAGGGTTGTTTAGCAACATTGTTATTGGATAAAATGAATTAGTGTTTTAATAATTATTGCTAATTTGCATTATCTTTATCCATACTTACTTCACATCAATCCTTATTATGTATGAGTTAAAATAATGATTTGAAGCTATCTAAATTTCATACGTACTACTAATAAATTTGAAGTGAAACTAATCCATAAATGCACTTACATTTACCTAATTTAAAGGTAGCTCATAGTTCACTTTACAAATGAACCAACCTGAGTTATTGGTGCAGACGATTCTTTACGCTTCTTGTGGGAAATTTTGACAACATCTACTTTCAAGTGGGCACGGTCACCTTCTCCTTCAGCTGACACAAAAAGATACAACATCTCTGATACAATCTAGAATAATTGAAACAATAAGTCAAAATAAAATAGACTCAAATTATATGCAGAACAATGAATCACTAAAATTAACACAACATTAGCATGCTAGTTTTACTATTTAGGCCTCAGTATATTTTACTATTTAGGTAAAGCAAAAAAAAAAATAATAATTCAAATATAAATAATAAAACATTAAGATAATAATCTCACTTTTCTTGTCAAAAAATCCAATAAAGGCAAGGTTAAGAAAACTTCCAGGATGATTGGACTGGGACTCATTTTGCTGCTTTTCAAGCTGCAATGGAAGACAATACTGTTAGAAATATTCACATTTATATTTGAATCTAATTTAACAAAACAAGTTACCAGATTAATAGAAATCCACATCAGTATTTCCTTTTACCATTTCAAACTATAAAGCAGACTAGAATTCATAAACAATTCAAACTATCCTAGCTATAAAGCCTACTGGTGAGAATAAGATTTATTACAGGTAAACACTTCAATTGATCAAAGACCATTTTTTAAAGCAGCCTGAACACATACCTTGTGAACGAGGGAATCAACTTTGAAGGTGGATCTATTTTTGTGGTTACGGCTCATTCGATTTTTCATGTAGTACAAACTTCGGTGAAGAAAAATAGGCTGCAAAGAGATAATATCCATAAGTTACATATATAACAGAAAGAACCTACAAACATATACTAGAAATGTATAAATTGCACATTTACAACTACTTGTTTGCAACAACAAAAAACATCGACAATATAACTTATCAACAAAAATTATGCTATTACTTAGAAACAAAATTTAATGCATTAGATATCTGCAGGGTTCATACCAGTATTTAGAAAAAAAAAATCCAAGACTTTTCCATGACACTTCATGACCTTCACTATAATTTTCAAAGACTTGTACATATACAACATATTTAGCATGACTGAAAGACTAACCATGCATATTCTATCAACTCCTACAGTTGATAAATAGCAAACGTGTAAATGCATAGCTCTTCATGCTCTTCAAAGATGGCATGGCTCTTCAATGCTGCTTCCCCCATATTTGACGCATCAAAGTCTTTCGAGCACAATGTACATATCGCCATACCTTCATGCATTGGATGGCGAGCAAGCCAGTCACGATAAGCTTCTATTCTTAACCGCAAGTCATGAAATTTACACTTTCCAGGCATGGTGATGTAGATATTGCATTCTGAAGATGGAATGCTGCCACTGCAGATCAAAAAGTTGTCACATATTACTGAGCTCACGTGATTGGAGAGCCAATCAGAACGAACGAAACAAGCGAGTATGGCACAGTCTCTTGCTTCATGCGTGCCAATCACAACACAGGAAACAAGAGACTGCACAAACAGTTTAACACATGCAGCACAGAAAAACACTTCATTTTTAGCGCATTTTCTCATTTATGGAAAAAATGCACTATTGTGCTCACCATGTCTGTCTGTCTGTCCTCAAGTTTTTGTTGACGAGAAAATGCGCTCTCTGTCACTCACTGCAGTGAGTACTGAGTTATATTTTTTCTTCTTTAATTTGCAAATACCATGACTTTCCATAACCTGAAATGAAATACAATGACTTTCCAGGCCTGGAAAATGAAAAATCAAATTCCATGACTTTCTAGGTTTTCCATGACCAGTATGAACCCTGTATCTGGCAAGCTTTGATAATTTTTATAATACCAAGCAAAGATTATCAATTATAAATAAACCAAGCAAATTAAGATTATCATAGTAAAAATAAAAGGCTTGACATGCTTCATCCAGTATCTCCAGGCCTTTGTGCATTACAATCATACAATGTCATTAGTCATTTAATGCCAAAAAATAGACTTTGAAAAGAATGCTCAAATGATGCACTATTAATTCATTAGTACAGTGCTGTAATAGCAGCAAAGACAGTCATTTGCAAAGATGCACAAGACAGTATTAGATGGAAAGATTTGCCATGTTATGAAATGTTCTATGAACACTTAAAGCAGACAACTGAAATCTTAGATTAGACTGTAAATCAAGCCTCAGGTTAGTTGGCTGCCAAAGCATCACTTCTTACCATACTAGAACTGAATCAACTTACTGTAGGCTGAGAAACACTTACACTAACAATATTGCGAGTTCTCAGGTATCTGTAGATCTGAGTAGGCTCTGAAAATAAATTATAAATACAATTAGAAATTTTTCAAATAGGTCATTGTATATGCTCTGTATATGCTCTTTGATCTCATCAGTTCATTTAGTCATTTTTAATGTATTTAATTAAGATCTTTGCTGAATGCTTGGTTTATCTCTATAAAACATCAAAATACACAGGAAACATTGTTAGTGATTATACCAATGTTAACATGAAGACACTTTTGCTATTAGAGGGGATTTAAATATTTATTTTCTTCATGTTAGGCAAAATAATGAACCATATATAATGGAAGTTATAGAGCTCATATTCAGTGGTTCACAAACGTTTTTACCAAGTATCCATGATTTACGAACATGTAACACTTGGCATAACACTCCTTTCACAATGGTTGGCTTTATTGTCATATATAATTACAATGAATTTAAAATCTGTATTTTGGCTCAATTAAGTTGTGTAGTTAACTTCAATAAAAAGTTGTATGGCTTGCAAATATTTCACTAACATAACTTTTAAATTGGACAGTTCCAAAGATCACAGCCACCCTAAACATTTGCATTGATAGTCTCATTGTTGCAACCATGTTGAATCATGATGCAGAAAGTCATGAATGGAAAGATCCTACTTTTTACTGAAATTTTGAGGCACCACAGTTACATTTTAATTAATTTGGAATCTTGCAGCTCAATTATAAACTTTTGTTAACAATTAGATTGAAGATAATTCATATAGTTAGAATCTGGCAGCTCCTAAAATGGCAGGAAAGCTTTATTTGCACCTTGGAAAGTAGATATATTGCACCTCTGCTGAAAGAGAATTAATATCTGATGATCTTTGGCAGCCCCTCTGCATTAAAATAGTTTTAGAAGATGTTGTCAACAAAATTCTTCATATACAAATCCTTACACATATTTTTGGCACAAATTTTTGAAGGTATTGGTAGTTAAGGCCATAAATGTTTAATAATTCTGGTAAAATTATGGGCTGAGAAATTGGATTTCAGGACAAACATGGAGTTTGTCATTTCAGGTAGCTTGCCAACAACAATATATAAAGTGACTGGGAAAGTGACTGGGGTGACTTTGGCCACTGGGGTGACTTAGGCCAACATTTATTATTTTGTTTTGCTACCATTTGCTGCTGTTGTAGGTGTGGCCAAAGTCACCCACTTGACAGTAGCTATCTTACAACAAGGAGGGACTCTTGGAATGGTGGAGGTGGTTCATATACTTAAGATAAATCTAGCCTGATTACATGATTAGTTTTAAAATATGAGCAGTATAAAAAATATAAATATAGTTTCAGATAGGTATTTAAATCCAATATGATACACATTCTCATATTACTTCTCTTGAATTCCATATGGGAATAAATGAGTGAAAATTAATTATTTAAAAATTGCAAAAAATATAATTTCTCTAATGAATATTCTATTTTCAAAAAAATAAGCTGCAAGACTCCAAAGTCACTTAAAATTCATGTCACATTGAGCCACAAAATTTCTGTAGCTAATGTATGAAAATTCCACACTTGATCACAGAGTGCATACCGGTATTTATAAAAAAAATTCCACGACTTTTCCATGACCGGGTTCTAGTAATCTTTGAATGTTAACTGAAAAGAGAGTAGCTGGCGCAGCAGAACCAAACTTTGCCAGAACATGTACAAGATGTGTATCAAACCTATGCATCCACTTGTAATATTCATTTCATCTTAATTTTATTATGAATCCAATTTTCTCCACTGGTTCAAAATGGAACCACTTAGCATTAATGGGTTAACACACGCAGCACAGAAAAGCACTTTTTTTACAACACTTCTCTCTAACTCCACTTCTTGTTTGTTTGTCTGTCTGCTACAAATCTTATAATCAATATTTAACACACTTCTAGCTGTCCAATCGTTCTGAAATTTTGCACACTTGTGTAAAGTTTGAAAATGGAGACAATGCATGAATTAATTGACATTTGCCAGAATAAACAATTTTAAAAATTATTGTTTTTTTCTGATATTCAAATCTAATAATCAATATTTGACACACTTCAACCTGCCCAATCAATCTGACATTTTGCAAACTTGCGTAAAGTTGGAGACAATGCATGAATCAATTGACAGAGTAAATAAATTTGAAAATCCAGAAAAGTTTTATATATTAAAAAATTTGAAAATAAAATTAGAAATTCATTTAAATGTGTAACAAAAAAAGACATTGGATTCTTTGGAACCGTAAGTGTTGTCTTTAAAAGTAGTTTTTAAATGCATATATTTCATTTATTTGCAAATTCCATGACTTTCCATAACCTGAAATGAAATCCAATGACTTTTGAAATGAATGAAATGAAATGAAAAACTAAATTCCCTGACTTTCCAGGTTTTCCATGACTGGTACGCACCCTGGGATCATAATGTAGTCCTAGCCAGCCCAGCTGAGTAGGGTAAACACGCCATATTCCGACACCTCAAGGATGTAGCAAGAAATAAATGGCTATAAATAGATCACCACATGCGCAACTTGAGTTCCGATTGGTTTACGTCACTCTCAAAACACTTCACTATGCGCCAGCAGTGATGAAACATCACAAACTGTTGCCAATTTACCATATTTATTTACAAGCCTTTAGAATTCAATCTACAAAATTGCTGAATTCCAACACTGTGTGACTAAATGCGGCATATTGTGAGACTAATTCCGACAGCGCATCAAAATCACAACTCGTAATTCTGACACCTTGTGTTGGAATACAACACCCTGTGTGACAGTGTGTGTCGTAATCCCAACACCCTGTGTCGAAATTAGTTTTTATGTGTCTAAAACCATCTCTTAAATCAATCATCTATTAATTTATTTACCACTTAAAATCAGCAAATACAAGTATACTTAAAGAATTCCTAACATATTCACAGACTTATTCAAAGTCTCAAACCATAATATTCTTTCTACACAAACAGTTTATCACTAGTAAAGCAAGGTCAACTATCAACTTTCATAAGTGTTTTGATGTTCTCACTAAGCTGACTTGGACTTTTGCTCTGTGGATCTCAACATTTTCTGCTAGACCTTGTGTTTTGCGGAAATATTGCGCACAATAGTATGATGTCACTATTTCAACCATCTAGGGTAAACGCACCATATTCCAACACTGTGGGTAATTCCGGCACTTCGCAACTTTTTCCTTTATATTACGCTTTGTCTTAGTTCCACACATGCGTAGATGGTTGAAATAGTGATGTCATACTATTGCGTGCAATATTTCCGCAAAACCCTAGGTCTGGCAGGAAAATGTTAGGATCCGCAGAGCAAAAGTCCACGTCACCCAGTGAGAACATCAAAAAACGTGTGAAAGTTTATAGTTGACCTTGCTCTACCAAATAGTGAAAAACTGATTGTGTAGAAAGAATATTATGGTTTGAGACTTTTAAATAAGTCTGTGAATAAATTAAGAATCCTTTAAGTATACTTGTATTTGCTGATTTTAAGTGGTAAATAAATTAATAGATGATTAATTTAAGAGACAGTTTTAGACACATAAAAACTAATTCCAACACATCTTGGAATTAGACACACACAGCTTGTTCCAAGCTGTGTCATATTCCGACACAGCTCACACAGGGTGTTGGAATTACAAATTACGATTTTGAAGCGCTGTCGGAATTACTCTCACAATATGTCGCATTCAGTCACACATGTGTCAGAATTCAGCAATTTTGTAGATTTGAATTCAACAGGTTTTTAAATTAATATGGCAACAGTTTGTCACATTTCATCATCGCTGGTGCGTAGTGTGGCGTTTTGAGAGTGACGTAAACCAATCAGAACGCAAGTTGGGCATACGGTGATCTATTTATAGCCATTTATTTCTTGCTAAATCCTTAAGGTGTTGGAATTTTTGTGTGTTTACCCTATGCATGCGTGGAACTAAGACCAAGCTTAATATAAAGGAAAAAGTTGAGAGGTGTCGGAATTACCCTCAGTGTTGGGATATGGTGCGTTTACCCTACTCACTTGGTCAACTCAGCCTGATAGTGGTAAAGCAGAGTTTTTTAGACTCTCCATCAAGTTCATTTTTGAGTCTTATAAGTAGACCAGTAAAGTATCCAGGATACCAGCATTATCATACATAAGAAATTGGTTTAAATCTTGGGTAAATAAGGAAATTGAAAATGAACCAATTCTAAAAAATCTCTGGTTTCACTATGGCCACATAGACGCTTAGTGGCAATCCAGATTCCAGATGTTTTTAGAATCAATTTATTTTTAATTTCCTCATTTACTCCAGGGTGCAGAAGGCGGAAGCAGCATTGCCAATATATGGGTTTTTAAGCCCAAAGCATCGCCGACCATTTTCAAGATGCGCCGCCGGATAATTTTTAATGAATAGCCATTTACGCTGAGTAATGAAAAACTATTTACAAGCGTCAAGCCACAAACTTATTTACAAGGTTGCATGCATGTGTTACCGCAAATAACTAATTTTTTGCTAAAAACAGTCCAATTGTACAGCAAGTGTCAACTGGACATGTGATGATGCACTATGCAGTCTGACTGCTCTAATATGACCACAACTATGATTTTGTTTACATTTTTTTTTGGCGGGAACTCATCGCAACCAATTTCCAGTCAAGCTTTACTGCATCCTGATCCAACCAACGTACCAGAAACCTTATTTTTTTCTAAATAGTAGGCCGAAGACTGACAAATATATTAAATGCAACAATTTCAATCTAAATGTGTCGGCAAGATCTTCTGAAGGTGTAAATTTTGCTACTGAAGCATCGCCAAATATCTTGCAATATTCATCCACTCTCTGCACAGTGGCATTTACTCAGCATTTAAGCCAATATGAATATCTTATGTGTGATAATGCTGGATTGCAGGTATTTATGATACTTTGCTGGTCCACTTAGGGTAAACGCGGTATATTCCGACACAGCTGGAAAGGTGACGGAATTACCTACGATGTCGGAATATACCACGTTTACCCTACTATAGGACTCAAAAATGAGCTTGATGAAGATTCTAAAAAACTCTGCATTGCCACTAAGGCTAAGGGTCCACTTTCACATCATTCAAATTTCCGAATACCTAGCTAGGCCTAGCCTAGCCTACATAAAATAATCCTAAATACCTAATCATACTGGTTTTTTACTCTTCCTTATTTGTGGGCTTGATTAAGCCTAAGTCATTTAAAACCAATAATAAAATTAAAAACTTACTTTCAAATGCTTGAAGGAACAATTCATGATCAGCCTGCATATCTTGATAAGATTTATCAGAGCTGTGGTTATCTTTCTTCCGATGAGCCATTTTACCACGGACCGATTCAACCATTATAACCGAGCTAAGTTTCAAATGTAAAAGGCTATACTTCCATATTGATTATTTAGAAAAGACGCAAATAGGCTTCAGGCCCTTATGAATAAGGCTTAACGTATACAAATGAGAACATTCACTTGATACCTAGTAGACAACTTTAACAGTAGGTACACCATCGCCAGTAGGCAATATGGTTTCTTGACCGAGTCTATATATTTAGGTGAAAGGAATGAATGAATTAAAAACTGTACAGAAATAAGCGTATTTTAATTGTGAAATATATCAATCACAGTTTTAAAATTTGTTCGACGTGATAAGTAGATTAGAAAAATTTCACGCTTTCGTTGAGCACTTCTTCCGCCACCCGGACATTGCGAGGGGCGGGTGAAGAAACAAACTGGAAGGAGAATTCCTAAGGGAGTTAAAGTTTTACATTGCACTTTAGGCGAAATTTCCCACAACATAGATTAAAACAATTGAAATTTACAAAAATTCGAATGAAATCACGAATGAACCACTCATCAAGAATAAATAGGATAATTATGCTTGAAACTGTTGAATTTCAAAGATAGTTATATTCGATTAATCCACAACTTGTGATTGCACTATACGGCGAGTAATCTTAGTTGTGACCGTAATTTATAGATGGCGGGAAATTCATATAACCACTATAAATAATCGAATAACTCTGGCATAAAGAAAAACATGAAATGTCATATGTCTAGTATATCTTTGATACACTGTTTGAGAGAATCAATTTGTGTGTAATAGTGAGCAAATACATATCATATAATTTGTGTCCATTATTTTAACCCAGCAACAACTGTGGGCTATAGGTAGTTTGTTACGAGTTATGGGCCAAAAAAAAAATCCATAAACTTATAGTTTAATAATTTTATCTTAAATTTGAACTAAAAACGTTAGGAATTCGCAAATTCTTTTCTTCTATGTTCAATTATGTGAATACGTCTACTCGATTGGGCTGCATCCGCTGAAATGTCGATTCGATTCGACGTATTCTCAGTGACTCTAGGGTAAGAAATATAAATTTTGAAGCATTCTGCATTGCATTATCAAAAAGTACAAATGTATTTACATGATGCATTAGATAAAATTTAGTGGGGACGAAAAATCAAGGTTATAGCAATTTCTGTCAGTTAAATTCATTCCAGTCAAATTTATGAGAACGCCTAATAATATTACATTTTTCTTTATTGATTTTTCACTAAAGACTGCTTTTAACCTCATATATCTATAATATATTATTTAGATAATGAATTTTACTAACGAAATCATTTCATCTGAAATACCGCCCGAAAGAAATATATTTATATGGACAAACTCCCAATTTCTTATGTTCTTCTAAAGACTAGCTGGCAACTTCAGGGCCACGCATGTTTAGGTATAAAATGGGTCGATGGTCAGTGTGCATCTTTAGAGTTGGGCTTGCTCTGTCGTAGTGTGGTGTGATAAATTTCAGGCATCCTCTCGTGCATCAACCAAAAATGTGTGGTAAGTTACCCTCAACTAATACACTTTCAGTGCTTTTCAGTCCCACTGCCATGGTCGTTTACGTTGTTGAGGCTCTTTTCTATTCCATTTATTCTTATAATTTGGCTACAGTTATCGTATGGTTGTTGAGATCGTGTATACTCGCATAATCTCTGCATTTCGACACGTCGTAACTTCCTAGCATTATTTTCAGCTGATCACTGATAAAAGCTTTAGCAATATTATAATTTTGACTTTATTTTAAAATATTTATAACGAAATTAGGAAACTTTTTTTTTTCACTCGTACCTGCGAAAAGGCTGCGATTCATAAATGGTATCTATTTGAACAGTAAACTTTAGCTAACTAATAAGTACATTTTGTTCACAAACCCCTGAAACCAGGTTTTGTACATTTTCAAGACCAAATTAATAGATTAATGCTCGAAATAAAACATTTTACGCGGTTTCCTTTCCTCATGCACAGCCAAATATCACTGAAGCCGGTGTTGTGAACACAACAGCGCTCGCTGTTGCACACTCGCCGAATTAGTAAGGTGCAAGTGTTTGCCTTCATATTTGCCTGGCATGCCATCAATCGCAAGCACGACGTTGGCCGATAAATTTTCGTGGATTTATTTTCTTGAAACGATCAAGATTCAACTTAAAACTTTGTTTATCGGTCAAGATTTTTAATATGTAATCCTAGATAGTGGTCGTACTTAAATATAAACATTATTGGATAATTTAGTTATTTTAGTAGTAGGAGATACCGCGCTGTCTTGTTGATCATTGTCATGATTATGAATGCACTTCACAAACAGCAAACTGCGGTATAAAAAACTTGTTAACATTATCAATTTCTCACGAGCCCATCACACTTCCGTTTAGTTCCGTATTCGGTAGCCATGAAATATTCTAATTTTGATTTACCTTAAATATGTCCAACAATTAATAACAATTATTTCTTCTTCTTGCATGCAATTGAACCCTTAGCGATAATGGCTGAATTTATGTTTAAATGTTTAAACGCATAGCCTATGCGGCATAGGTATTAAAATTTTTCTATTTGGATAGCGGTACACAAAGTTCTATTGTTAGCTGATAAGCCTGATATAGACGTGAGTCGAATCATTCCAACTGGACGGGCAGATCAGGCCACACTACTAAAACTTCCTTGAGTACACGTAGCGGCCGATTTCTCGTCTGTGATTGGTGGGTTTACTTGAAAAGCCGTAAGTGATTGGCTGACGGAGTTACAAACTCTCAACTATTTTTGATAGTTCGGCCCCCTGGGCGACAGAGAAAGCTCAAGCAGAGAACACGGTTTCTCTGGCACGTTCTAATTGATGCTACTGACTGGAGTGCTCTTCTAGTGCTCTGCATCAGTTAGCATGCGCAGCTAAACTGACTTATCCTGGACAAACGCGACGAATAATGCATCGCAAAGTATAAATATAGATGAAATAGCGTCGTTGCTATTTTTCGAACGAAACGTATTCATAACATTTCAGACGTTGGTGCTGGTCTCTCTTGATCTGTTTCAGCTTCGTCCTACCTTAGAGAGATTTGTAATAACAATCAGAGCTTTGTCAAAGAGATGTTTGACTTTTGCCAATACTTCCCTCGTTAAGTTAAACGTGCAGTTTAATTTTATCCTACATATAATCGTTTTTAATAAGTATCCTGTTCTTTGCCTGTCTATGCACCTGGCGCTACGTCTCGTCACCACGAAATCTACCTAAGCTAGTAAATTAAATCTTCACATGAATCTGATTCAGTATTTTCGAAGGCTTATCAACAAAATGCAGCAATTATTTTATTTTCCTCTTTAACAACACGTAAGAGTTCTACTCCGCAGTCTCTTAACGCCATGTAGGATTTATCTATATAATCACAATGCTTCTGTTAACCTTCTATTGTTTGAATTGTTTTGCTTTGGAGTAATAACTATTCTTGAAAGCAGGCTATTTCTTGGCAACAGTAACCGGAAATTCTCTAGAAGTTCCTTTTGTGCAATTTAAAGCATTAAGTGCTATTCTCGGAAGATATTTTGTTCCCAAAGACTGCATTAAATAACTTTAGATTGGGGTAAATAAATAATTACAAATAAAATATTTTTTATCACTTAGCTCATAAATAACTGCGGGTCCTGTATGCGAGTTAGGGTTCATTGAATGTAATTATATACGTTATATACATCATTAAAGTAACAATATGAATTATTAGAACATAATTTCTCGCTTATTTCTTTACATTATCTATCTGTCTACATGACCATATAGTAGCATATGCATAGTTCATACATGTGCAGAGTTTGGCTTGTAATGCTGACTGCCTTGTTTATCTCGTATATCGCCGAGATTCCTGGTAATGAAGTATGTAGCAGCGTTACTTTTCTCATATCATGTTATGTTCGCAGAAAGATTCTGCTTGATAAAACTAAATAATATTATGACACCCTGGGTTCGTCTCTGATTAATGATTAACCACTCGTGACTGAAGATTATTTCATTTCTTGTTAAATACTTGAATAAAAGTTTACTATAGTGTGTATTGTACTACAACAACAAACCAAAGTCGTGCATTGGTTTTTTGCCAAGATTACATTAATTAGTTTGCAACAATTTAATGAAAGTCCATAACAATAATCTGGAATTAGTTTGCAAATAGTAGGGAAAATTGATCGATTGTTAAGGTGTTGTGTTGGAAAAGAATTAAACAGTTCTTCCGTTTTGCTGCTTAGGTACACGACTGTCAAGTGTTCGCGTTGATGTCACGAATGTTACTTGCCTATCCGCTTTCTGTTCACGCGTACTCTTTGATGAATTAAACTCTATATACCGCCTGACCTGAGTAACCGGAGCAATATTGTCACAAGCCTACTTCCCAAAAAGGATACGTTCTAGTGAGCGCAAAATGACTTGCACTGATGGTTGCCGCCACGTACGACAACTTTAAAATGTTCTCTGTTGCGCACAAACATTCTCAAGTTGCAACAAACAATAATTTATGTATAATTGTATGTTCCCGGAGAGTGACATTCGGCGGTAGAGGGTTAAGGGTTAAGATGTCGTCTAATGACATCGTGTATAGATTGATGTAATATATGAACAGAGCAAAACTGGCTCCTGAAAGTTTTTTTTTGTTCGCTTAGTAAATGGTAAGGTTAAAGTTGCGGCTAAAGAAGAATAACAAAATATTTTATCAGTTTTTCGCCTCTTTTTCTCCACGTACTGTCTAGCGCTCATGCAATGGGGCGTAGCAAAAAGAGAAACGAAAGTTTTTGACGCTGTGTATGTTGCCTAAAAATGTACATGTCGAAAGTATGCAGTTCTTATCTTCCGGTGAGCATGTGTCTGGTATTCATATCAAAGAAGGAGCGATAAGTTATGATCTTTAATTGTTATCTCAGCACTGACAGCTAAGGGATCATCTTGCTTGCGTCAGGACTGACCTTACATGTCAAACATTTCGTTCAACGACATGACAAATGCCACGAAATCTTACTAATTAGTCGTACCTCTAAAATACTACTTTCGTCTGAAGATTACGTCATTTTCTTGTCAATTTTGTAATGTCACCATTTAGATAATGAGTCGAAGCCATGTATATTCGTTATATACCCGTATATTTATCTAGATTATTGCGTTTATGAGAGAACTTTTCGACGTTCGGTATGGTTTGAAAATATTTCTAAAGCTAAAAATTATTTCTAAATTATTTCTATTTTTATCAAGTGTGGAGTGCTTACCTGAAAATTCTGCGAGCGTGCTGGCGGTTTGGTGAACGCAACACTTGCTCTTGCTCGGGACAGCGGCACACAGATGTCACCAGAGCCTTTCATGCTTGGAGTCATTAACACGTTGATTACGATTGCTTCATCTTGTAATATTATTTCATTTTTTGTACTGTTTTTAAGCAGGGTTGCCAGACGGTCATTTTTTCCGGACAAATTCCGTGATTTAGTTTTTCTCAATTGCATTGGCCGGCTAAAATTTATGATAGGGGTACTTCCTAATTAAATTTTAAATACTGCAAAAAAAGAAAATAAATGGAATTTTTATGGCGGAACCTACAAATAAACTAGTATATATTGAGTTATCGGCCTTTTTTGGCCTTTATTGTTCTCAGGTTTGGCCGATTTTAGGTAATCTGAATTATGTACCACTACGTCCTTGAGAAATACATTTCGTGGTACGCATATGTACCAATTCGGAGTCAACGTGTTAATGCTTGTATTTTCGTGTATTGCTTGTGTTTTCGTGTAATGCTTGTGTTTTCGTGTATTGCTTGTATTTTCGTGTATTGCTTGTATTTTCGTGTATTGCTTGTATTTTCGTGTAATGCTTGTGTTTTCGTGTAATGCTTGTATTTTCGTGTATTGCTTGTATTTTCGTGTATTGCTTGTATTTTCGTGTATTGCTTGTATTATCGTGTATTGCTTGTATTTTCGTGATGATTTGTTTTGGCTGTCAGGCGTAATTGGGATTTTCTATGGATATTTGCACCTCGAACACGACCTTGCATTGAAGTTTGTCTTTTTTTTAGCTCGGGTCAAGTTGGAATTTCCGCCTCCGTATAAAGAATTATGTACAGTAAAAATAGAAGTTCGGGAAAGGTGGCTCGCACTTTAAATCGCCTTTGCTGCGGGGGTTTGTTTAATAAACCTACTAGAGGGCGAATCATCCAAAATATTGAAATATTCTATGAAATCAATTCCACTATTATTAATATTTTGTGTATGAAGGCTTTGATGACTAACATTTTTGAGACTTTAAAACCGATATGAAAAATAAGCTGGACCTAAAAAACATCCACCACTCGACTGCTTGCCCTTAATTTTACGGCTGATAAACCAATTCGTTTCCACTAAATCGTTTGTTCCGCTCTTCATTGCGTGTGTCGTCTGCCATATAGAAACGTCGTCTGCCATATAGAAACGTCGTCTGCCATATATATTCATATAGCTCTTGTCGTCTGCCATATAGAAACGTGCACAGAATAAACAATGGAAGCACAAGGCACGGAAGCCACCAGAATAAACGCGTTCGTTACTGCATGATCGTCGCCCTTCGATCAAGTCTTGCCAAATGCCAAGGGTTACAAGTTCTTCATAGGGACGCTTGACCAGACCGACTGAACTTGACTTCTGCTGCCCCTGCAAGCAGGAAGAGCAGAGCCTAGTGTGAATGTCATGCCTGCTGCTGCTGGAGGGTCTGAAGTCGAGGATATTTCCAAATTTTTATATAAAGAAAACATCGCACGATTGTTATGCAGTTATGTTTCAATTTCTTTCCGGTGTTGATTATATATATATTAGGTTTAAAAAAGCTGCTAGAGTACTTGAGTATTTACGAATTTTCTTCGTGGATCATTTTAAATAGCTTTACATAATCGATAACTCAGTTGAAGTTTGCAACTGCCTGAAGTTACGTAAATTTCTTCCTGCGTACATAACTAGATTACTAGAGGCTATTCAACGTTCGATTGACCTTTCCTAATGGTTGTCAGGAGGTTCAGTGGCCGCACAATCAAAAATAGCTTCGAGTTCGTAACTCCGCCAGTCAATCGCTGGTGGCTTTTCAAACTAAACCAACAAACAAAAAACAAAAATCCGCCCCCAACGGCAACTGAACAAGTTTTGATAGTACGGCTCCTGCTCCTGCAGTGGGCGCCGAGACGTCCGCTTATCTGCCTCCCGTCGGATGCCTTCGCGGTCGTCGACTTCCATTTTATAATTAATGCCAAGTTTTTAGCATCGTGCTTCTTTTATTTAGCTTTGTGCTTTCATTATTCAGTCTTCTTACCTATGTTCTGAGGTTTGTTTACGAACAAAATACTTATTTATTACCGTTTATCATAACTTGACATGTTTCTTCATGCGAGCTTTTGTAATTTTAGCGCCTTGCTTCAGCCCCTTCCCTAGTTGACATCGGAACAATACCTGCTATTTGCATCGAGCTGGAGTCAATGGTGCCATATCGTGTTTTTATACGAGCTTTCGCTAGTAGGCGGGTGATGAATTTGTATAATTAGTTTGTATGAATATGATTTGATTTATTTAGGAAATGTTTTTCCCTAAGCAGGTACTCTATGCACGTGTCATGAAGAGGCAACTACGGCTGCAATATTTGTGCCACAGTTATACGTATGAACAGCGTTGGTAAAGCGTATAGCAGGGTTGCTGTATCCGGTCCAGAAATGCCTTTTTTTCATGCATTTAGTGCAGCGTCAAGCTCTTCAGGCGAGAAATATACTGGCGAGCCTACGAGTTCGCATTGAGTACCGTTCAAGGTTTCTTGGTGGTTTAAATTTAAGAATATTTTGATTCGAAAAAGTTGTCTACTGTAATTATAATTTATCATTTAACTATAAATTGTGTTGGTGTTCAGATTATGCGGCTTAATTGTAGCATATGTCGACCGCTACGTGTAGCTTATTTGAACCGAAAGCAAACTCGTGAATAGTAATAGTAGGATCTTCATTCCTGCAAAAAATGTTAAAAATTATTTATTTAACACCGTGATTCTTTGTCTCATTCTTGAAATTTAAGTTCCACGCTTAGAAGTGTGAATTATGGAATTTCTGTTGTTTATACTCTTTTTTTTTTTAAGTTTGTAACCGATGAGGCATGGAGCTGGCCTTCGAAACGTTTTAAATGAATCTATGATAAATGTACTGCACATTCTTTGCTTATTAAATCCTAGCATAATTCGAAATTTGATCAAACAAATGATATGAATTTGCATCATGCTCTACGGCGAGTAGCTTGTTACATCAGTCCCGTCGTCGCAACGGACAGTTTTTCTTTCGTCTGGCTTCTTCCTATACTTACAATACTTGTATGAATTTCACAACACTAGTTCAACTGCCGTAGTTAGCCTTGACTCTCTCTATATTAGACGGATCGGTAATTTGCTCATTGATTGAGGCTGCAAAAAAAATACTGTGGGTGCCTCGATCAGTCGACGCGTCGCGGAAATGGAGACAGAATGCGACTTCGCTGGCAACGCTAGCAGACTTCCGCGCTTCCCATTATACACAGTAATGCTGGGAACAGTACTGCACGGGACATTTAAATCGAATTTTCGGATCCTTAATTACTTAAATGCTAAATTAAAAAAAAAAACTCTACGCATTTTCGCATATATTAGTTTTTATTTCACAATGTAGGGCGATGCATGACACGTACATATAGCAAGTTTTCGCCTTTTCCGCCCTAACTTTCCAGGCTTCCATATTTGTCCACAATCATAATCACCATACTATCTCCTATAATAGTCATAGCCGCTTTATTGTATTGAACACTAGAGGCAGTGTGTTACAGTCTTTAGGTTTCATTTTACAGTCTTTGTGTATGTTACAGTCTTTAGGTTTCATTTTAATGTTACAGTCTAAGATTTCATTCCATGATCGCTTTACCAACTGAGCGAGTTGAACACTGGTTGTTCATTAAGAGTTCTGTTGCTGCCAGTGCTCGGGCACGTTATATTGAATTTGTTTGGCTTTGGCGGTGGCTAACTACGCAGAAAACTATCGTCGTCACTTGCCCTTTCATCGAATTTATTCCAGCAAACTGCGCAGGTAAAGCCAAGTAGGGAAATTATTTTTAGTACCACTAGAATCTTGCGTGGCGAGCTGGGTGGGAAATTGATACCTTGCAGTCGTGCATGGAAGCTGTCACATTATGACATCGGTATTTTGTGAAAAGTTTATAATGTGACACCTCTTCACATTGTGTGAAGGTGTCGCATGTGACACAGGTATTTGGTGAAGGTGTCACATTTTGACATCGGTATTTTGAGAAAAGTTTTAAATGTGACACCTCTTCACATTGTATGAATGTGTCGCATGTGACACAGGTATTTTTTGAAGGTGTCACATTGTGCCACCTCTGAAGACATATCAAGGTATGTAAATGTGAAGTCATATCAAGGTATGTAAAGTTATGAAGTTTTTTCGTTTTCAGGTATTTTCGCCTACCTGAACTACCTCACGCCCAAGAGGAGGGCTGAAATTATCGACCTACTCATCCGAGGCCTCGAGAGACTCGAGTATCGTGGATACGATTCCGCAGGTTAGTGCTCTTATATTTTTAATAAAACAATAAGAAATTGTTAATAATAATTAGTCTACTGTTTTCTACAAAACCTGCATTAGAGAACAAAGACTGCCTAGATGTATCAATATTCCTATTATTTATAAACAAACGGTAAAGCCATGACTTGTTCATCCAAATAGCATTCAAACACTAGAAAAATTATAAATTTTAATTAATCTATGGTCTTCGTCAAAACCTGCATTAGAGAATTACTTATGGATCAAAGAATATTTTAATCGATTTTTTTAACAAACACTGTAATCGTATTTCTGAGTAGCACCCAGATATAACTAACGTAAAGTATCGCATTCGAGCTCGAAATTTGAAAATAAATTTGAATAGTAATAATAATAATGAAAAATGAGGATAAATTATTTTTAAACCACATCCATGGAGATTTCTGAAAATGATTTGCCTTTGTAATATATGGCGCATCAAATGCCTACGTATATACTCCGTGAGTTGGCACTCGAAATCTCGTGAAAAAAAAAGATTTAACAAAAGAATTTAAAAGTTAACACACGAGTTTCCTATAATGTGTTCGCTTACACGTGGATGCAGAGTTCCGGAAATAAAGTTTCGTGTCAATTACCCAGTATAATAAATCATTGCTTGACATCGAGCTACACGTTTGATTTAACTTGGGGAGCCTGACTTTTCTCACCTCGTTCATATCTTATTACAATTTACGATATGAAAGTCCTGGCACACTTATTTCGGGTCTATTAGATCGTCAGATTTTGGCTAGATCTAGATTACGTTTATAATGCGTGTCACTATAGTATGAAAAATATGCTTCAGATCTAGATCAACGTGTTAGCCAGAACAATCGGTTCAGTAAATGTCTGGACAGTAGTCGGTCGGCCTTGGTATTCTGGTTCTGGCAAGGACAGCCGCTCTCGAGTTCGCTCGAACCTCGAAGTTTTTGCGAGGGTCTTGCGAAAACATCGGGTCTATTCCGCAGTTTAGATGCACATCTAAATTTGTTGGCTTAAAGTTTGTTTGAAAGTGAGACAAACCTTTATGTGTACACTTTTTGAACTTGTAAAAACACCAGAGAATTGTTTTCTTATTAATTTTCTTGTTCGTTTTTTTTTCATCGAGTTTAATATTTTTCGTTTGCGTTGATAGACCGAAAATTAGATTACGGGAATACATTATTAATATATTAAATTCTTAATCAAGTTTAAAAGACGCATTGAATAATGAGAGTGATCGATATGTGTATGAAATCAATATGTGTATGAAAACACATAAATAGGATAGTACTACTTTCTAACTTCAACATACACTCGTTAACATCAATATGCGTATCAGGGATTCGTCGGCACAGTCAGCAGCTGTTCGCGCCGGATTCGTTTCTGTCATTTTTAGGTTTCGTTAGCTAGAAGATTGTGAACTATCTATTATCTATGACATTCAATTAATTAATTGGATCTCGTTCTGCTGGTTCTGGGCTAGGCAAGGTGATGTTCGGAGACCTTGATGACTCGAAACAGCGCATTTGATGCGGCTAGCGTTTTTTGGACTGGTTTACAATACGCAGCTTCTTAAATTTGAAATTTTGTTGCAACCAAACTGTATCACAATCGTACATTTCGGACGTGAACTGACGTGAATATGATGCCAAAAAGATTATTTCGTTTGATTTTCACTTGAATTCTCAAAATATTTGTTAGCTTATTCTATTCACCCTTTATTGTTCATAATAATGTTACGGTTTACAATGATGGATTGTTGCCGAACGCATGCAGTGGCCTAAATTCACAAAATAATTTTTTCTTACTATATTCATAATATTGATCATAATATTGTGATGCGACGGTTCACAATAATAATGTATTATCACCGCATGTGGGCATCGGAATGGACAGCATAAATGCACAAAATAACCTATATAATCACGATATATAATACGATTGTTATAATTACGATGATTTAATAACGATTTAATATGATTTTTTTGATGTATATAATAACAATGTATTGTTGGTGGATGCAGGCATCGGTATCGACAGCTTGTCGGAAGGCGTGACTCTCATCAAACAAGAGGGTAAAGTGAAGCGTTTGCGTGATGAGATCGAGCGTCTCAAGGACTCCCTGGACATGGACCGCGAGCTTGATCGTCATGTGGGCATCGCACATACGCGCTGGGCCACGCACGGCGTGCCCTCTGATATCAACTCTCACCCTCAGCGCTCCGACGACCTCAACGAGTTCGTCGTCGTGCATAACGGTGCGTGCAATACCTATCAATATTTAGAGTCGCCCCAGCTTCTGGTTTAGAGTCGCCCCAGCTTCTGGTTTAGAGTCGCCCCAGCTTCTGGTTTAGAGTCGCCCCAGCTTCTGGT